TGGGACTTGATATTAAAATAGTTGGTAGGAATAAAGAGAAAAAAGTAAACAGTAATACTTTTGATTTTGGCTTTTTCTGAGGTAGAAGCATTGAGAATTATTTTGCTTTTTTTTTTTTTTTTTTATTCAGGGCTCAGAGATGGATTCACCAGAAGGAGCCACAATTAGAAGTGAGCAGAAATTCAGGTAATTTGTGCTACAGAAGTGATATAAAACTGTCTCTTAATGAAAATGTGAAATCACAGTGGGAGTAAACTACTGAATATTGGATACAASAACAACATCATGCCTGAAAACTTGCAATGATCCCAGAAATTAATTTCTTTCCTGACCAAGTAGTTCATGCTCACTTAAGGTCTTTGTGAGGGGTAAGTAATGAGAGGAAAAAAATAGGGCTCAATGTGGCAGGAAGGCATGGGGGGGTCATCAAACACATTTTATGTGTCAGCACGAGCTGGCAGCTATATCTACATGTTTCTTTATTGCTTAGCCTGAGGCCATTTCAAGTTGAACATTGTGGTTTGACCTGGTTTCAGGTGATTGTGAAACAAGAGGTGTTAATCATCCCTATTTCCATGTCACCAGGAGCTGACAATCTGTGAAGGTAGTTCAGAAAGTCTGKGGAGTTCTGAGGTTCTGTGCTGCTGAGATCCTTGTTTATACAGAACTGATTCTGCTGTGTGGTTTTTATGCATTTTCACTTTGCTGGGTAATGAAAGATTTTCTTGACAATTCCCTGTGCTGATTGTGCAGACTGTGGATGTAACACCAACACGCCTCTGAGAGGGATCTGTGGGTAGTAATGTCTAAACAGTGGGTTGGATGAACGCTTGATCACAACCAGCATGACTGCTATGTTCACATATCCTGCAGTGACCATAAATGAGAATAAAATATGCCATTTTTTCCCAGAAAAAACCCAAAAATTTGTTTCCTTAAAATATTGTGACTTGTCCCTTTGAAATAGTTCTATTTCCTTTCTATCACAAATGCATTAATTCAGTCATCAGACAATCTTCTGCCCATTTTTTTTCAAAATTTCATTGGAAATGGTGTTTGGCTAGCCCAGTGGCCTGGAAAATGGCAACTGYCAGTTTGGATCTCAGAGATTTTAGTGATTTGAAGTTGTTGCCCTTTTTTGGCTGGTATTAACCATGCACATGTATTTGTTTGAAATGACAAAAATGCTTTAGGGCCATTGTTTTGGGGAAGCCTTGGGTTTCTGTGGCTGCCCATCCCAGGATACTGTGTAGGAATGGAGWACTCTGTTCCTAGTGGTTGGTTGGTGTTTTGCAGAAGCTTTAATGGCTCAGGTGAACTTCTGGAGTCAGTCCTGAGCTCTTCAGGCAAGCCAGGAAATGCACCATGAGCAATGAACACTTTTGTTTTCTGTGTTCAAGGAAATTCTTAAAAAGCCTGGTAAGAAAGCAGCCCCGGGACCTGCTCCTGGTGATTGGGACAGGAGTGAGTGCTGCAGTAGCCCCCGGAATCCCRGCGCTCTGCTCCTGGAGGAGCTGCATTGAGGCTGTCCTTGGAGCAGCTGAGCAGCTGGAGGTGCTGCACCCAGGGGATGTGGCTGAATTCCGTAAGAAAGTAAGCAAGGAGAGAGACCTGCTCGTGGTTGCACATGATCTCATCAGGAAGATGTCACCAGTGAGTATGTTTATAACCTCTGTTAATTTCCAAAACTACYATGTACTTTTGTTCTGTTATAAAGAAACACTACTTCCAAAAGTTGAGTTTTCTGGTAAAAATGGAAATTTAGTGGGTGATCATATAGCACATTGTGCATTTTGGAGAGGCTAAAAATCCCCAGCATTCATCAGAATTAATGCAAACCAGAATCGTTACTGTTAAATATTTGCTGTAAAGTTTATGAGAAGTGAGAGAGGAATTTCTAGACCTGTGGCTGTAACTGGAGAGACCCTGAAAGCACAGGTAGGGCTTGAGCCCACTGRTGACCTTGGGCCACACGTTGGGAATCACCAGCACAGCTCCCACCTCCCTGAGTTCAGCCTATGCCTGCWTAGGTTCAGCTATCCATCTGAACTTCCAGATATTTTCAAACYGTGTTAAGATCTTTGCCAAGCCTTCCTTCTGGCTGCAATAATCGGGGTGACAGACGTAGTTCTAGGTGTAGGCTGTGGTCAGCCTCCCTGCAGGCTCAGTGTGACAGCAAGGCTGCATGTGTTTGTAGCAGATTTAATCATTAATACAGTTTTCTCAACCAGGAATGAAAAAACAGAAAAMCCCCACTTTTAATAGTATACCCCAGGGATATCAGGGATATACTGAATAGCTGAATACTCATAAAATACTGATCAGTCTGAATCCAGGGAAAACTCATTTTAGTGTTGTGTTATTGTRTCTGTATTACAAGCTCTCTTGAGAAAGCCAGACTATTGTTTGGAGCTACACTGAGTAGAGGCAGGATCACTGGAGCAAACCCAGATTTGTTTTGGGGGATTTTGGTTGGGGTGGCTGTTCAAGCCCTCTCTTGCAGTGGCCAGGTGGTGTGGGTTCCTGAGGGAGGCAGTTGTCACAGAGCACAAGGGCTGATTGGAGCSTTCCTCTCCTCTTTCCACAGCGTACTGGGGACACGAAGCCCAACTTCTTCCAGGATTGCTTAATGGAGGTGTTTGATAATTTAGAACAACACATTCAGAACCCCGTGATTCTGCAGTCCATCCTGAGGCTCATGGAGAGAGGCACGATGGTTCTGACTACAAACTATGATAATTTGCTTGAAATATTTGGTCAGCAACAGGGCAAACCTATGGAATCTTTAGACCTTAAAGATAAGGATAAGGTGCGATGACATCAGTAAAATTATTAGACTTATATATGACAATTCAGCACATAAGCTGCACTGAAAGATGTTTTCCTGTTAAAAGAGTGTCAAGACTAAAAATCAATTGGTAAAGCATATCTGTAAGCAGATGCCCAGACATTTCTTTTACATATCTCTTTATTCTGAATTATCTGGTAACTATTACTAAGGAGAATTTCAGTGACACATTTATTAATCAGTTCCCTGCCATTTATTGGAAAAGAACCCCACAAACTTAATTTAACATATGTAAARGCATTGTTAAAATCCCAAATAGAATTTCACTTGGCTGCTAGTTAATTTGCTGTTCATACCTTTTCTGTCAGTGCTGCTGGAGTTTGCTTCCTGCTTGACTGGCTGTAGAACCCAAAAAGCCAGAGAGCTGCATTATCAGCCATCACCTCTTTGTTACAATTTAAATTGCTGTATAATTACAAATTGCAATCCCCTGCTGTAGGAAAGTGCAAAAGGAGTTGTTTCTGCTTTAAGTGGTTTGTGAGTCAGTTCAGCTGTATAATATTGCAGATTCCTGCTGAGTGTGGTGTATTTTAACAAAAGGATGTGTCTTGCATGATGTGCTTTAGGTTCTTCAGTGGGCAAGGGGCCACGTGAAATAYGGAGTTCTTCATATTCACGGCTTGTACACAGATCCCTGTGGAATGGTGCTCGATCCCTCGGGATACAAAGATGTTACTCAAGATCCTGAAGTCATGGTTTGTGTGATCTTTACAATTTTTACTATGTTTTGCCAAGCAATTGTCTTGTGACCACTTCAGACAAGATACCTAAGGCTCAGTGGGATCATATAAATTAAATACTTGGGGCCCACAGGAATTATTCAAGATTATTCAGAAAGGTGGCTCTGTTGCCAGGGCACTCTGTRCCCTTGTGTCCTGTGGCTTGTAAATCACAACCAAACCCCTCAGCTGGATGTCACAATTTGTATTTATCTTTGGAAAGGAGCTTCARAACACTGGACACCAGGAAAAGGATTCATCATCCTATGATTGCTAGGGTTCTTAGGAGTTTAAAATGTTACTAGCTCTGGATCCTGGTCAGTTAAGAGATCCATGGGAAGTCAAACATTTGGTCAAGAATATTAAATTTCCTTACTATAGAGATTGACCTAATGGGACCCCAATATTCTGTCATTCTAATTATTTCAATTTAAATTCCCTTACTGGCAACACTTACATGCCCATTTAAATTTCATGGAATGGCTTGGGTTGGAAGAGAYCTTAAAGATCATTTTGTTCCAACTCCCATATTTCTATGATAATTTTGCCTTTTTTTTTGTTTTTGTTTTGTTGGAACAATGGTTATGAAGTGGCAGTTTGGCCTGGTCCTAAAACATCTGCTTTTTTCAGCTCAGTAGTGAGGTTCTGCTCTGCTGGCTGCTGGTCCTTCTCTAGCTGATGTATTTTAAAAGTTCTGACCTTGGCTTTTGTCTGTAAGTATGACAATATTTTCTATTCTGTGTTTCTGTTCCTTCACAGGAAGTTCTTCAGAATCTGTACCGAACCAAATCTTTTTTGTTTTTGGGCTGTGGAGAGACTCTGCGTGACCAGATATTCCAAGCTCTCTTTCTTTACACAGTAAAGAACAAAATGGATCTAGAACATTACATGTTGGTACTTAAAGAAAACGAAGACCACTTTTTTAAGCTCCAGGCAGATATGCTGCTGCATGGAATCAAAGTGGTGTCCTATGGGGACTGCTTCCAACAATTCCCAGAGTATGTCCAGGATCTGACTGCTCAAATCTGCAAACAGAGAAGTCCAGGTAAYGTGGCCTCTTCAGCAGCACAATCTGGAGCAGGTCCTGGGTGGGTTGTCCTGCCTGAACACTGCAGCTGATCTGAGGCTCTGACCTCGGATTTGTTGCTTGTGAGGGACATGTGGAGTTGCAACATGTGGCCAAACTACAACCAGATTTTTTTTTTTTAAATCTGTGGATTTTGGAGGTCTGTGGATTCTTGTAAACGTAATCTTGAATTCTGAATTTGCTTCTTTGTTAGTATTTAGTGAAGATGTTTGCTTAACATATATTTATGATGTGAACTACTCCAGCTTATTAAGTATTACATTATCAGAAATCTGACTGGTCAGGAAAAGAGACTAGGTATTGAAAGAATTAACTGTGGGATAAGCTGGTTAAGCCACAATATCTGACTGAGCACAGAATGGGAAGTTAAATCAGTGCATCCAGRAAGTGTTTGGCTTAATACAGTTAGGGTTGTGAAGAGAATGAAGAGAAACAACAACTTTATGTCTAAGGAAAGAGATTTCTTTAATGTTTTCYAAACAAGGACAGTTCTGTTTTGGCTTATCCAGAGAATAGAGGAAAATAACTAAATGACCTWGGGAAGAATTGCTGTTTGACAGGTTTATTGTTTATCATTTCAGTGAAAATGTTTTGTCTAAAATTATTCCCAAATGGTACATGGCATGAACCTTTCCCTGAAAAGTGTATGTTGGAATTATTCTGGTTTTTGTGACTTGATGAATACTCCAATTAGACTGCATTACGTTTTTCTTTCCAGTAAGGCTAGAAAAAAMCACTTATCATAGTATCAAGATTTCAGGAAGTTTGTTTGCAGCTTGATTGGCATCAGACTTGCAAGAAGGACCTTACTCAGACTCGAAAAATCTCATGGTCTCATTTGCAAGTCAAGATCCCAAACAAAACCATTCAGTGTGCAGAACTGCCCTGTACATCACCAGMCTGTCAGGGTTTGGTTTTTTGTGCCTATGTACAAACTCTCTTCCAATGTGTAGCAGGGGGAGTTTGTTAAAAGGATAATATGAAAGAAATGAGAAATGCAGGCTGGGTCCTAGACACTCACTGGAAAAGGAACACAGCAAACTGCAAAGTCCAGGAATCCTGGAATGCCTTGAGGGCCACTTCCTAGGAAAGGTGATGGAGAGCCCAAGGGAGGAGAGGCTCAGCTGCCCCTGAGGTCAGGGTCAGAGACATCCTGGGCTGCAGCAATAATGTCCTGGTAGAATTCTCAACCTGCTAAACCATTATAAAGTTACTAAGCTGTATTATTAGGAAAATGGTGTTGACTGGGGGAGTTCCCACTGGCTGGAAAAGAGGAAACCTAATCCCTATTTTTAAAAAGGTGAAAAAGGAAGACTTGGGGAGGGGGGATGAAAATAGGCTGGATGGTCACACTCAGGGCTTCAAACTGAAAGGGCATAAGATTAGGTTAGCTATAAAGAGGACACTTTTTTTTTTTTGTGATCAGTGTGGGGAGGCCCTAGCACAGGGTGCCCAGAGAAGCTGTGGCTGCCCCATCCCTGGAAGTGTTCAAGGCTGCACTTGGAGCAACCTGGGATTGTGGAATGTGTCCTTGCTCCTAGCAGGAGCGTGGAACTGGATGAGCTTCGACATCCCTTCCACCCCAGACCATTCTGGGATTCTAAATACAACTTTGCTGTTTTGGGATGGTGCATAAAAGCATGAAAAGTTCCTGGATGTTTGTGTGTGTTGCTGACATCTCTTTAACTTCTCTAGATGCTGATCGGGTGGACAGCACAACACTCTTGGGTAAGTGATGTTTTWATTTTTACAAAAAGTTCCATAATCCTACCAACATGAGAAAAGTACACTTCTTATTTCCAAAGTAATTAAATAATTACTCTGCAGAGCTCTGATTTAGCATGACTTCATTTATCTTGATAGCTGGTGCTTGTAATAAAATGTACACCAAGCACATGGATATAGCAATATCAATTTGTTTTTTTTTTTTCCCCTCTCCCACCTCAGGAACTTCATGCGTGGACTGTGCTAAAAGAAAGTTGGGAGAAAGTGGCATCAATTCTCCTAAGAGGATAAAGCAGTCAGATAGTGATATCCCCACTCCTGAATGAAGAACCCCAAAGAYCCCAGGTCCACCCCAGAAGCTTTTTAACAGTAGGTGTGTTTTGCATCTGCTGCATGAGAAGTTTAGAGCTGGTATTTCCATGGTTTTAAGTGGAATAAAATTGTACATACTGGCTTTTTCTTTTCTAAAGCTGTAAATGTGTCACGTGTGTAAAACTCTACKCACATGAGTCACTCCCCTGGCACTGCCAGACCACTCAGGCAGGGTCAGACAAAGGTAGATACAACTTCTCAGTGCCTGTGTGTGAAGCCAGCTGGACCAAACTCTTCCCCAGGTGAAACCACACAGTGTTTGCATGTGTTAAAGGTACCTCTTGGCACACCTGCTATTGAAACAAAGCAGTTTCAGTTCTTTTCCCATGAGCTGAGCTGCAGGTGGGTTGCTGGAGCCTGAATTCTTCAGGGCTCTTGCAGGCTTCAGTGTCTGATCCCTAAGTCCTGAAGACCAGTGCTGTTCCACAGTTGTAGAACCCACAGCACGACGAGCCACCTGCTTTTCACTTTTGGCACAAGGATTTGTTTTCCTTTGTCAGGTAAGGCACAAGATCACCTGGGGAGGAAAGGCTGGAACAGTGCTGCATCCACAGGGACARATTGCAGGGCAGGCACTCCCTGACCCTTCTGTTCCTGTGGAAATGTGTTGAATGTTACACCACAGACTG